AACCCTTTGTTTTTTTCCATCTCCCTTAAAACTTGGTTGATATCTCCCTTTTATTCTACGTTTCCCAGAGGTGAAGATTGAATATCCCAAAAAAAGTATTTCTTTTTCGCAGGTTGGTAAGAACATAAAAAACATAAGAAAGGGGGGAACAATGCAGGAGGCCGGGTTTGGGCCCTTTCTGGGGAGGTCCTTTAAATTATCCCCCTAACAAAAAAATTTTCCCCAAACCCCAAATTTTTAATTTCCACCCAAGAAATTTAAACTCTGATGTGAAAGTCCCAAACCCCCCCAAAACCAACCCCCCCCCTCTAATTTCCAACCCCAAAATTTTAAAAATACCCAAAGTCCCCGCCTCAATAACCCCAAATGGTAGATGTTCCAAAAAAAAAACTACCCTATTTCCAAAAACCCAAAAACTTTCCCATGGGCCTTTCTAAAATCTTAAAATTATCTAAAATTTTAAAAACCCTTACTCGGGTTCCCCTCTTGGAGAAAACATCCTCAAAACCTTATTAATATCCCCTTTATTAAAAACCTATCTTCCACTTAAAATTCGATCAGGTTCCCTCATTCTTCGTCTAACAAAATGGGAAAAATAACTTAAGAGTCTTAAAATCTTTCTTATAAGGGAAAGATTTCTAATGTTATGTATTATTTTAGTCATCCTACGCTGAATGTTTTCTAACGAATTTATGTCCATTCTGTAATATGGAGACCAGAACTGAGCTGCATAATCTAGGTGAGGCCTTACTAATGATGTATAAAGCTGCAGTATGACCTCTGGACTTCTGTTGCTTACACTTCTTGATATAAATCCCAGTAATCTATTTGCCTTATTACGTACGCTTAGGCATTGCTGTCTTGGTTTAAGGTTGTTGCTCACCATAACCCCCAAGTCCTTTTCGCAATCTGTATGGCTAAGTTCTACATCATTTAACTTATAATTACTAGGGTTATGGGCACTCCCAAGCTTCAGAACCTTGCATTTATCTACAATGAACTGCATCTGCCACTTTTCTGACCAAGAATAGAGCTTGAACATTAAAATGGTATAAAATACCGACAGGTTGTTAGGTAAGACACATATGCAACAGTTAGGTATCTTTATTTTGAAACGTTTCGCCTACACAGTAGGCTTCTTCAGTCGAGTACAGAAAAGTTGATAGAACCAGAAGAGACTTGAAGACGATGTAATCAGTCCATCACCCTTAAAGTTTTGAGGTGGTCAGTCCCTCAGTCTGGAGAAGAGCATTGTTCCATAGTATGAAACAATATGGAGATGAAGTGACAGGATGGAGCCTTATATAGCGCCAAGAGGTGAGACGTAGGTCACTAGAAGAGGTAAGAACTCAGATGTTGGGAGGTCAGGTCCCTCTCAAATCCAGCCGTTCTCACTAGTAGAGGTTGTCGAAGTTGATTGCAGGTCTGTACTCGACTGAAGAAGCCTACTGTGTAGGCGAAACGTTTCAAAATAAAGATACCTAACTGTTGCATATGTGTCTTACCTAACAACCTGTCGGTATTTTATACCATTTTAATGTTCAATCTGTCAGACACTGCAACACAAGGGTATCTTGGTACAGACCTGCAATCAACTTCGACAACCTCTACTAGTGAGAACGGCTGGATTTGAGAGGGACCTGACCTCCCAACATCTGAGTTCTTACCTCTTCTAGTGACCTACGTCTCACCTCTTGGCGCTATATAAGGCTCCATCCTGTCACTTCATCTCCATATTGTTTCATACTATGGAACAATGCTCTTCTCTAGACTGAGGGACTGACCACCTCAAAACTTTAAGGGTGATGGACTGATTACATCGTCTTCAAGTCTCTTCTGGTTCTATCAACTTTTCTGTACTCGACTGAAGAAGCCTACTGTGTAGGCGAAACGTTTCAAAATAAAGATACCTAACTGTTGCATATGTGTCTTACCTAACAAGAATAGAGCTTGTTTAAATCCTCCTGAAGTTCCATAACATCTACGCTTGAATCAATTATCCTACCTATCTTTGTGTCATCGGCGAATTTGCTCATATCACTAGTAATTCCTTCATCAAGATCATTGATATATATTACAAACAACAACGGGCCCAAGACTGATCCCTGTGGAACGCCACTTGTTACAGATCCCCACTCGGATTTAACCCCATTTATGGACACTTTCTGCTTCCTGTCAGTGAGCCATGACTCGATCCACGAGAGCACTTTTCCCCCAATGCCATGAGCTGCCACTTTCTTTAACAGTCTATGGTGCGGAACTCTATCAAAAGCCTTACTAAAATCTAAGTAAATAATATAAAATTATTTATCATGGTCAACAGCCTCAAAAGCTTTACTGCAGAAAGTTAATAAATTAGTTAGACAAGACCGGCCTCTTGTGAATCCATGCTGAGTATCATTAATCAAGCTATGCTTATCGAGATGGCTTCTTATAATCTCATCTATAATTGACTCTAGTAATTTGCCTACAATTGAGGTCAGGCTTATTGGGCGGTAATTTGACGGTAACGACTTGTCCCCTGTTTTAAAAATAGGAATTACATTAGCCATCTTCCACATATCAGACACTACACCTGTTTGAAGAGATAAATTAAAAATATTAGTTAATGGTTCACAGAGTTCCATTTTGCATTCCTTAAGAACCCTTGAAAAAACCTCATCAAGACCCGGCGACTTATTTTGCTTCAGTCTGTCTATCTGCTTCACAACCATTTCGCTAGTGACTGTGATGTTACATAATTTATCTTCTTCTAGCCCACTATAAAAATTAATTACTGGAATATTGTTAGTGTCTTCCTGTGTAAAAACTGAGAGAAAATAATTATTTAAAATCGAGCACATTTCATTCTCTTTGTCAGTAAGGTGCCCATAGTTATTTTTAAGGGACCTATCTTATCTCTAAACTTTTGTTCTATAGACCTGGAAAAAACTTTTTGGTTTAGTTTTAGAATCCCTAGCAACTTTAATTTCATAGTCCCTTTTAGCTTTTCTTATCCCCTTTTTAATGTCCCTCTTAATGTCAATATACTGATTCATAAGATGACCCTCACCTCTTTTGATACGCCTATAAATTCCTTTCTTATGCCCTAGTAGATATTTGAGCCTATTATTCATCCATTTTGGGTCATTTCTATTTGATCTAATTTCTTTATATGGGATAAACGTTCTTTGAGCAGCATGCATAGTGTTCAGAAAACTGTCATATTGATAGCTCTCTTCGTTACCCCAGTCAACAGATGATAAGTGTTCTCTAAGCCCATCGTAATCTGCTAAGCGAAAATCTGGGACTGTTACTGAGTTATCGCTACTATCGTACTTCCATTCAATGCTAAATGTAATTGATTTGTGGTCGCTAGCACCGAGTTCCTCTGAAATTTCTAAATTATTAACAAGGGATTCATTGTTTGCCATAACTAAGTCAAGCAGGTTATTACCCCTTGTAGGTTCTGTCACAAACTGATTCAAAAAAACAATCCTGAACTACTTCTAAGAAGTCGTATGATTCTAAATTCCCAGTCAAGAAATTCCAATCAATATGACTAAGTTAAAGTCTCCTAGAATTACTACATTATCGTGCCTTGTGGCCTTAACAATTTCCTCCCATAGTAGTCTCCCTTGGTCCCTATCTAAGTTTGGGGGACGGTATATCACTCCTAAAATCAGTTTTTCATGCCCCTCTGAAAATTCTATCCAAACAGACTCTGTATGTGTTACTTCAGACTTAATACCCGTTTTTATGCAACAGTTCAAGCGATCTCGGACATACAATGCCACCCCACCCCCCTTCCCGATACTTCTATCTACTTGGAACAATTTAAAGCCCTGAATATGACATTCCGCAGGCATGTCCCGACTTTTTTAATTAAACCACGTCTCAGTTAAGAAAGACACATTGGCAACAGTTAGACATCTTTAATCCAAAACATTTCGCCTACACAGTAGGCTTCTTCAGTTGAGTACAGAAAGTAGGCAGGAGCAGTAGAGATATGAAGATGATGCAATCAGTAAGTTGCAGTGTCTGACAGGATTGTAGATGAATGGTTCGGAGAACCGACACGTTGATAAATTAGACATATTTGCAACTCTTGGGTATCTTTATTGAGGAAACGTTTCGCCACACAGTGGCTTCATCAGTCCAAGTCAGACTGAATGTCGTAATAAGTTTCAGTCACCTGTCTGCAGGTTATTTGTGTATTGTTCCAGTCACAGCAGTATTGTGCCTTTTTTTATTCATAAATTTAATATTTTGGTCAGTAATGTTTATTTACCATACACGTCACGTATATAAACTAGGCACGGATGCGGTAATTAGGACATTTACTAAAGAGACATTTCTCCCACCAGAAGCTTTATCAGTAGAAATACACTTGATCAAGCCACTACCGAACAAAATGTTTCAGTAATAAATATCCTAACACCGCATTTATGTCTTAAATAAGGGTCAATGTTTATCTCCATTTGTAATTATGCTTGAGACTTACAATTAATTTATTCAGTTATGTTTGATGATTCCACGATCTTTCAGAACATTATTTTCTTTGAGATATGTTTTTTTTACAAGTTTCTGTGGTCATTACACCGCGAGTGTTGGGTGAACCACCAACACGTGAGTTATACCTGTGATGCATTAATAATCTGCCGTCATATAAATTCCAGTTGAAGTTATATAATACATAATATGGAAACTATGAGTAAAAATTTGTTCCCAGACACTCCCAGCACGAATAAACAATATTATTTATTACTTTTAGAGTCTCTTCTTGTGTCAGCATAGTTGCTGATCCCTGTGTTGTATAGCATATCAGTTGTATTTGGCCGAAATTCATTTGCAGGGAGTACTCTTATATACATACATGATATATATATATATATATATATATATATATATATATATATATATATATATATATAATATATATATATTAATCGTGAATACTTCCAGCTAACAGTAAGGAGACAATCCAAGAGTATAGTGAGAACGTTGGTTGGAGCCCACAGGTGAAGGTATATGGACTGCAGGATGACATGTGGACACCCCCCAGCACTGAGGTCTTCCTTCGCTATAACCTCTCTCTCAAGGTGATGTTCAATGTAACCTCTCCCTCAAGGTAATGTCCAATGTAATCTCTTCCTGAAGGTGATGTCTAATGTAACGTCTCCCTCAAGGTGAAGTCCAGTGAAACCTTTCCCTCAAGGTGAAGTCCAATGTAACCTCTTCCTCAAAGTGAAGTCCAATGTAACCTCCCCTTCACGGTGATGTCCAATATAACCTCTCCCTTAAGGTGATGACCAATGTAACATCTTCCTCAAGGTGATGTCCAATATAACCTCTCCCTTAAGGTGATGTCCAATATAACCTCTCCCTCAAGGTGATGTTCAGTGTAATCTCTTCCTGAAGGCGAAGTCCACTGTAACCTCTCCCTCAAGGTGAAGTTCCAATGTAACCTCTCCCTCAAGGTGATGTCCAATGTAACCTCTCCTTCAAGGTGATGTCCAGTGTAATCTCTTCCTGAAGGCGAAGTCCACTGTAACCTCTCCCTCAAGGTGAAGTATAATGTAACCTCTCCCTCAAGGTGAAGTCCAATGTAACCTCTCCTTCAAGGTGATGTTCAGTGTAATCTCTTCCTGAAGGCGAAGTCCACTGTAACCTCTCCCTCAAGGTGAAGTCCACTGTAACCTCTCCCTCAAGGTGAAGCCCAATGTAACCTCTCCTTCAAGGTGATGTCCAGTGTAATCTCTTCCTGAAAGCGATGCCCAGTGTAACATCTCCCTCAAGGTGAAGTCCAATGTAACCTTTCCCTTAAGGTGAAGTTCAATGTAACCTCTCCTTCAAGGTGAAGTTCAATGTAACCTCTCCCTCAAGGTGAAGTTCAATGTAACCTCTCCCTCAAGGTGAAGTTCAATGTAACCTCTCCCTCAAGGTGAAGTTCATGTAACCTCTCCCTCAAGGTGAAGTTCATGTAACCTCTCCCTCAAGGTGAAGTTCAATGTAACCTCTCCCTCAAGGTGAAGTTCAATGTAACCTCTCCCTCAAGGTGAAGTTCAATGTAACCTCTCCCTCAAGGTGAAGTTCAATGTAACCTCTCCCTCAAGGTGAAGTTCAATGTAACCTCTCCCTCAAGGTGAAGTTCAATGTAACCTCTCCCTCAAGGTGAAGTTCACTGTAACCTCATTCTCAAGGTGAAGTTCAACATAACCTCTCCCTCAAGGTGAAGTTCAATGTAACCTCTCCCTCAAGGTGAAGTTCAATGTAACCTCTCCTCAAGGTGAAGTTCATGTAACTTCTCCTCAAAGGTGAAGTTCAATGTAACCTCTCCCTCAAGGTGAAGTTCCAATGTAACCTCTCCCTCAAGGTGAAGTTCAATGTAACCTCTCCCTCAAGGTGAAGTTCATTGTAACCTCTCCCTCAAGGTGAAGTTCAATGTAACCTCTCCCTCAAGGTGAAGTTCAATGTAACCTCTCCCTCAAGGTGAAGTTCAATGTAACCTCTCCCTCAAGGTGAAGTTCAATGTAACCTCTCCCTCAAGGTGAAGTTCAATGTAACCTCTCCCTCAAGGTGAAGTTCAATGTAACCTCTCCCTCAAGGTGAAGTTCATTGTAACCTCTCCCTCAAGGTGAAGTTCAATGTAACCTCTCCCTCAAGGTGAAGTTCAATGTAACCTCTCCCTCAAGGTGAAGTTCATGTAACCTCTCCCTCAAGGTGAAGTTCAATGTAACTCTCCCTCAAGGTGAAGTTCATGTAACCTCTCCCTCAAGGTGAAGTTCAATGTAACCTCTCCCTCAAGGTGAAGTTCAATGTAACCTCTCCCTCAAGGTGAAGTTCAATGTAACTCTCCCTCAAGGTGAAGTTCAATGTAACCTCTCCCTCAAGGTGAAGTTCAATGTAACTCTCCCTCATATATGAAGTTCATTGTAACTCTCCTCAAGGTGAAGTTCAATTAACTCTCCTCAAGGTGAAGTTCAATGTAACCTCTCCCTCAAGGTGAAGTTCAATTGTAACCTCTCCCTCAAGGTGAAGTTCAATGTAACTCTCCCTCAAGGTGAAGTTCAACTTAGGATCAATATCTCCTCAAGGTGAAGTTCAATATAACCTCTCCCTCAAGGTGAAGTCAAGTAACCTCTCACTCAAGTGAAGTTCAATGTAACCTCTCCTCAAGGTGATTCAATGTAACCTCTCCCTCAAGGTAAGTTCAATGTAACTCTCCTCAAGGTGAAGTTCATTGTAACCTCTCCCTCAAGTGAAGTTCATGTAACTCTCCCTCAAGGTGAAGTTCAATGTAACCTCTCCCTCAAGGTGAAGTTCAAGTTAACTTCTCCTCAAGGTGAAGTTCATTGTAACCTCTCCCTCAAGGTGAAGTTCAATGTAACTCTCCCTCAAGGTGAAGTTCATTGTAACCTCTCCCTCAAGGTGAAGTTCAATGTAACTTCATAACTGACCCTCAAGTGAAGTTCATTGAACCTACTCCCTCAGGTGAAGTTCAATGTAACTTCTCCCTCAAGGTGAAGTTCATTGTAACCTCTCCCTCAAGGTGAAGTTCAACGTAACTTCTCCCTCAAGGTGAAGTTCATTGTAACCGATCAATAACTCCCTCAAGGTGAATTTAATCGTAACTCTCCCTCAAGTAAAGTTCATGTAACATCTCCCCAAGGTGAGTTCATTGTAACTCTCCCTCAGGTGAAGTCAATAACCTCTCCTCAAGGTGACATTTAACCCTATCAATTAACTGATCATTAACCTTAACAATCACACTATCTCCTATGACATGATCAATTAACTGTCAATAAGTCAACTAACTATCTATACAATGATCATGTAAACTATCTATACATGAATCAACTAACATATCTTACATGATCATATTAACTATCTTAACATGATCTAATTAACTGATCAATATAACATGATCAATATAACATGATCAATATAACATGATCAATATAACATGATCAATATAACATGATCAATATAACATGATCAATATAACATGATCAATATAACATGATCAATATAACATGATCAATATAACATGATCAATATAACATGATCAATATAACATGATCAATATAACATGATCAATATACATGATCAATATAACATGATCAATACAACATTACATTTACATTAATCAACATTAAATTGTTATATATATACTTTCAAATATATGACAAACTAACACTACTATCCTTACCTATCATACCTAACACTAACTATCCTTACTATCATAACCTAACACTACCTATCCTTACCTATCATACCTAACACTACTATCCTTACATATCCATAACCTAACACTACCTATCCTTACCTATCCATACCTAACACTACCTATCCTTACCTATCCATACCTAACACTACCTATCCTTACCTATCCATACCTAACACTACCTATCCTTACCTATCCATACATAACACTACCTATCCTTACCTATCCAAACCTAACACTACCTATCCTTACCTATCCATACCTAACACTACCTATCCTTACCTATTCATACCTAACACTACCTATCCTTACCTATCCATACCTAACACTACCTATCCTTACCTATTCATACCTAACACTACCTATCCTTACCTAGCCATACCTAACACTACCTATCCTTACCAACCATACCTAACACTACCTATCCTTACCCAACCATACCTAACACTACCTATCCTTACCCAACCATACCTAACACTACCTATCCTTACCTATTCATACCTAACACTACCTATCCTTACCTAGCCATACCTAACACTACCTATCCTTACCTAGCCATACCTAACACTACCTATCCTTACCTAGCCATACCTAACACTACCTATCCTTACCCAACCATACCTAACACTTCCTATCCTTACTTACCATACATAACACTACCTATCCTTACCTAGCCATACCTAACACTACCTATCCTTACCTAGCCATACCTAACACTACCTATCCTTACCTAGCCATACCTAACACTACCTATCCTTACCCAACCATACCTAACACTACCTATCCTTACCTAGCCATACCTAACACTACCTATCCTTACTACCATACCTAACACTACCTATCCTTACCTACCATACCTAACACTACCTATCCTTACCTAGCCATACCTAACACTACCTATCCTTACCTAGCCATAACCTAACACTACCTATCCTTACCCAACCATACCTAACACTACCTATCCTTACCTATGCAAAATTAACACCACCTATCCTTACCTAGCCATACCTAACACTATCCTTACCTATCTAAACTTAACACTACCTATCCTTAAATATCCAAACCCTACCTATCTTTACTAGCCATACCTAACAAACTACGCCAATTTTAACATTAAGCAGCCTAATTCGTGCAACCAACAGAATTCATATTCCCTTCATTGGTAATGTTAATACACTCGCCTCCTAGTTGCCGACACAAAGTGCAACAGTAGTTTAAATTCCATTATTATTTACCCTTCAAACCTAACTCAGAATACTTCACACACTAGTATCTAATTGGTAATATTATATATTACATAATTAGCAGCGTTACACTAATTGATACGTAAATTTGCAACATTATAATAACTAGTAATCTAATTAACAATGTTAGATACACTATCAAGGAAATTAACTGTCACTTGTTTATTGCTTTTCGTAATTAAACTTAATTATCTAAACATAAATGATTATTATTATTATGTAGTATGTTAGAGCAGTAATACTAATACTACTACTACTACTAATAATAATAATAATATATTATAATAATTATTATTATTATTATTATTATTATTATTATTATTATTATTATGTACAACATAATTAAGTAAGGTTACTTTTTGTACAAATGTTATGTCTGTTTAGCCATACAGATTACTGTGTGATAATGTATTAAGAGTTGAACAGTAGTACTTAACATTATCATAATCGCAGTTTTATTCTTGATATTCTAAATGTTGTTAAAGGGTTATGAGGATTCCGAGGAAGTGAGTGTGTGTTACCACCTGAGAGACACCAGCTTCTCTCAGCTGGAGCCACACGTCTCCCTGGCCGTCAGCGACATCGTAGCTAACGCCCTTTTCATCTGTGAGTACCTTGGCCACATCTAGTTTCTATCCATTAAAACATAAGAAAGACGGAGCACTGCAGCAGGCTTACTGGCCAGTGCTAAGTAGGACCAAGTCACACCCACTCATAAGACAGGTAGGGGCACCGCAGCAGGCCTACTGACCCAAGCTATTCAGGTCCAGCTCGAAGTATATTATAAAATACTTGGCAGATCGTTGTAGATGTCTAACACTGTTCTTATCAAAGCGTGAACCACAGGGAAGTGAATCTCTCTCAGCTTATATATGGTTAGAATTTAATCCCTAATTTATAGATTAAAGTAATCTTTTCTGGTGGTGAAATAGTTACGTGGAGTCTAATGACCCTAGTATAGTCGATAGGCTTTAAACCCCATTAACCAACTAACCAATCAATCTCAACATATTGTTTCGATTTGTTCTGGCTAGATGTTTTCAGTACCGTGTTTAAAATCCTATTTATGCCAGAGTTGCTATTGTTAGTTTCCTCGCCAAGGTAAAACACCTGACACACATCTGTTAAGACTTGTTTAGTAGCGGCGTTCTTTTAGCGAGGAGCAAGGCTGAATAATGTGACTCAAGACTAATATGCTAGGGGAAGCGGAATGGAAGGGGGGGGGGTGAACCAATGAGCATTTGGAGGGCCATGGTTGCAGCGACCACTGGCTCAGACCATTGTTGCGCGTTTTATGCCTATCTTCCATTTGTACACGTCATTAATATTCCCGCCCACTCCCATTATACGGTTTTCAAGAGTGTAGGTTCAGAAATTTCAGTCAGTCTGTAAGAGTTATTCCTAATACAGGGGATTAACTTTGTTCCTCTTCTGTGTGTATTTTCCGGCTCATTTATATGTTGCTTCTATCTCTATCTTATCAACGAACCTACAGATTAAACCTAGACGGTGGACGACATTTCAGTCAGTCTTGGATCATTATACAGGCAACATTTATATATACATGTATTTATAATGTCGTCCGATTAATTGTCAATTAGCAAGACTCATTTAAAATTAAGTCCATTCTGCTGTTGACTCTCGCCCTGGCAGGTCATAGCAGCTCTCCTTACTTGCACAGTATCCCTACGATCCCCGTTGGGGAGGGGAACCTCTACCATCTCCACGATGTCTCATCGTGTGAGAATTAAGCCCAAGTCTGCTGTCGTCGATGACGCCACGAAGCTTGAGCTTGCAGCTTCTCTCAACACTTGTCTGCACGCAAAGTTCTCCAAGATCACGTCACTGAAGGAAGCTTTCATCGTCACTTTTCTCGATGATACTGAAGCTGACAAGGTGCTTACACCTACTGCCATGAAGACCTTAGAAGACCGAGGCTTTACCATCTCTACGTCACCATACATGCTTGCAAAACGTTCAGTGTTTATGAAACGTCTTGACAAGCTGATCACGAACATGACAATCCAGGAAATTACTACATCACTTGAAGACCTCAACACCTGGGCCAAGATTGACACTGTAGTGAAGATTCCAAACGCTTCCTCAATGCTCAAGGTCACATTCCTGGACGTTACCATGGCGACCAGAGCACTGTCGGATGGCCTGGCCATCTCTTACTACTACATCAACCCTCGACAGATTGAACCTGAACGCTTCACGTACATAACACCTTGCTGGACATGTTACTCGTACAGTCACTCTACTGCCGACTGCCACGTGAAGAATAAGAAGATATGTTCCACCTGTGGGTCTGCAGGGCACGATTTTCGTTCTTGCACTTCCACTGCTGCTCCCACTTGCATCAACTGTAAGAGTGATCACCATACTCTTGCAGCCAAGTGTCCAGTGCGAAAGGATATCCTTTCTAAGAAACTAAAGGAAGAAACAAAGAAGTCATCTGGAACCTCTCCTACATACGCTGCAATTGCCAAGATTCAGTCTACAATATCCAAGATTCTACAAGCTACTCAACAGTCGTCTCCACCACCTCTCACTACCCAACCTCCACCTGATGATATTTCTACCAAATTCTATTACTGCATGATGTTTGCCCACATGCAAAATGCTGCAAAACCTGGCTCTTTCAACACGACTATCAATGAACTTCTTGCACTCAACAACATGCCATCATTTAACTTCCCTGCAAGTCCACCATCAGCTGAAATTTTGAAAATAATCCCGAAGATCGTCAGTTTTGAAGCGCCAGATGACTTGAAGAAATTAATAATTGACAATGAAGACGCATCCTTTTTTGAATCCTCCAATCAACGTTCACCTGATAACATCCAAGTCAGCACTACGCCTCCTATTCGTCGATCGCCTCCTACTCGTCGATTGGCTCGTCGTGGCGGCGTACCTCCTTCACCTCCACTCACCACTATTCATATGTTGATAAATTAGACACATGTGCAACTCTTGGGTATCTATATTGAGGAAACGTTTCGCCACACAGTGGCTTCATCAGTCCATACAAAGGAGAATCTTGAAGAACAGGAGGAGAATGAGGTAATCAGTCCCTCAACCTTGAGTCGATGTGGTCAGTCCATCAATCTTGAATAGAATACGGCATACGTGCTGAGAAGGAGCTTATAAACCGTTGGCAGGAGAGGTGCAGCAGTCATAGGTCGTGTAACATTTGTTCAATGTTGAAGTAGGTCGTGCCCAAGAATTAGCCTAATTCTTGGGCACGACCTACTTCAACATTGAACAAATGTTACACGATCTATGACTGCTGCACCTCTCCTGCCAACGGTTTATAAGCTCCTTCTCAGCACGTATGCCGTATTCTATTCAAGATTGATGGACTGACCACATCGACTCAAGGTTGAGGGACTGATTACCTCATTCTCCTCCTGTTCTTCAAGATTCTCCTTTGTATGGACTGATGAAGCCACTGTGTGGCGAAACATTTCCTCAATATAGATACCCAAGAGTTGCACATGTGTCTAATTTATCAACATGTCGGTTCTCTGAACCATTCATCTACAAACCTGTCAGACACTGCAACTTCTTGGGATCTTAATACTTGGGAATTCTTCGCTTGCCTAATTCTTGGGCACGACCTACTTCAACATTGAACAAATGTTACACGACCTATGACTGCTGCACCTCTCCTGCCAACGGTTTATAAGCTCCTTCTCAGCACGTATGCCGTATTCTATTCAAGATTGATGGACTGACCACATCGACTCAAGGTTGAGGGACTGATTACCTCATTCTCCTCCTGTTCTTCAAGATTCTCCTTTGTATGGACTGATGAAGCCACTGTGTGGCGAAACGTTTCCTCAATATAGATACCCAAGAGTTGCACATGTGTCTAATTTATCAACATGTCGGTTCTCTGAACCATTCATCTACAAACCTGTCAGACACTGCAACTTCTTGGGATCTTAATACTTGGGAATTCTTCGCTTGCCTAATTCTTGGGCACGACCTACTTCAATATTGAACAAATGTTACACGACCTATGACTGCTGCATAAGAACATAAGAAAGGAGGAACACTGCAGCAGGCCTGTTGGCCCATACTAGGCAGGTCCTTTACAATTCATCCCACTAACACACATTTGACCAACCCAATTTTCATTGCCCCCCAAGAAACAAGCTCCGATGTGCAAGTCCCTCTCAAATCCAACCCCTCCCACTCATGTACTTATCCAACCTAAATTTGAAACTACCCAAAGTCCCAGCCTCAATAACCCAACTAGGTAGACTGTTCCACTCATCAACTACCCTATTTCCAAACCAATACTTTCCTATGTCCTTTCTAAATCTAAACTTATCTAATTTAAATCCATTACTGCGGGTTCTCTCTTGGAGAGATATCCGCAAGACCTTGTTAATATCCCCTTTATTAATACCTATCTTCCACTTATACACTTCGATCAGGTCTCCCCTCATTCTTCGTCTAACAAGTGAATGTTAACTTAAGAGTCTTCAATCTTTCATCATAAGGAAGATTTCTAATGCTATGTATTAATTTAGTCATCCTACGCTGAATGTTTTCTAACGAATTTATGTCCATTCTGTAATTTTGGAGACCAGAATTGAGCTGCATAATCTAGGTGAGGCCTTACTAATGATGTATAAAGCTGCAGTATGACCTCTGGACTTCTGTTGCTTACACTTCTTGATATAAATCCCAGTAATCTATTTGCCTTATTACGTACGCTTAGGCATTGCTGTCTTGGTTTAAGGTTGCTGCTTACCATAACCCCCAAGTCCCTTTCGCAATCTGTATGGCTAAGTTCTACATTATTTAACTTATAAGTGCTAGGGTTATGGACACTCCCGAGCTTCAGAACCTTGCATTTATCTACATTGAACTGCATCTGCCACTTTTCTGACCAAGAGTAGAGTTTGTCTAAATCCTCCTGAAGTTCCCTAACATCTACGTTTGAATCAATTATCCTACCTATCTTCGTGTCATCGGCGAATTTACTCATATCACTAGCAATTCCTTCATCAAGATCATTGATTTATATTATAAACAACAACGGGCCCAAGACTGATCCCTGTGGAATGCCACTTGTTACTGATCCCCACTCGGATTTAACCCCATTGATGGACACTCTCTGCTTCCTGTCTGTGAGCCATGATTCGATCCACGAGAGCACCCTTCCCCAATGCCATGAGCTGCTACTTTCTCAACAGTCTCTGGTGCGGAACTCTATCAAATGCCTTACTAAAATCTAAGTAAACAATATCAAATTCTTTATCGTGGTCAACAGCCTCAAAAGCTTTACTGAAGAAAGTTAATAAATTAGTTAGACAAGACCGGCCTCTTGTGAATCCATGCTGAGTATCATTAATCAAGCTATGCTTATCGAGATGGCTCTTATAATCTCAGCTATAATTGATTCTAGTAATTTGCCTACAATTGAGGTCAGCTTATTGGCGTAATTAGACGGTAACGACTTGTCCCCTGTTTTAAAAATAGGAATTACATTAGCCATCTTCCACATATCAGACACTACACCTGTTTGAAGAGATAAATTAAAAATATTAGTTAATGGTTTCACAGACTTCCATTTGCATTCCTTAAGAACCCTTGAAAAAACCTCATCAGGACCCGGTGACTTATTTTGCTTCAGTCGGTCTATCTGCTTCACAACCATTTCACTAGTGACTGTGATGTTACATAATTTATCTTCTTCTGATCCACTATAAAAATTAATTACCGGAATATTATTAGTGTCTTCCTGTGTAAAAACCGAGAGAAAATAATTATTTAAAATCGAGCACATTTCATTCTCTTTGTCAGTAAGATGCCCATAGTTATTTTTTAAGGGGACCTATCTTATCTCTGACTTTTGTTCTATATACCTGGAAAAAACTTTTTGGGTTAGTTTTAGAATCCCTAGCAACTTTAATTTCATAGTCCCTTTTAGCTTTTCTTATCCCCTTTTTAATGTCCCTCTTAATGTCAATATACTGATTCATAAGATGACCCTCGCCTCTTTTGATACGCCTATAAATTCCTTTCTTATGCCCTAGTAGATATTTCAGCCTATATTTCATCCATTTTGGGTCATTTCTATTTGATCTAATTTCCTTATAAGGGATAAAACGTTCTTTGAGCAGCATGTATTGTGTTCAGAAAACTGTCATATTGATAGCTCTCTTCGTTACCCCAGTCAACAGATGATAAGTGTTCTCTAAGGCCCATCGTAATCTGCTAAGCGAAAATCTGGGACTGTTACTGAGTATCCCTACTATCATACTTCCATTCAATTCTAATGTAATTGATTTGTGGTCACTAGCACCCAGTTCCTCTGAAACATCTAAATTATTAACAAGGGATTCATTGTTTGCCAGAACTAAGTCAAGCAGGTTATTTCCCCTTGTAGGTTCTGTCACAAACTGCTTCAAAAAACAATCCTGAACTACTTCTAAGAAATCGCATGATTCTAAATTCCCAGTCAAGAAATTCCAATCAATATGACTAAAGTTAAAGTCTCCTAGAATTACTACATTATCGTGCCTTGTGGCCCTAACAATTTCCTCCCATATAGTCTCCTTGTCCCTATCTAAATTTGGGGACGGTATATCACACCTAAAATTAATTTTTCATGCCCCTCTGAAAATTCTATCCAAACAGACTCTGTATGTGTTACTTCAGACTTAATACCCGTTTTTTAATGCAACAGTTCAAGCGATCTCGGACATACAATGCCACCCCACCCCCCTTCCCGATACTTCTATCTACTTGGAACAATTTAAAAACCCTGAATGTGACATTCTGCAGGCATGTCCCGACTTTTTGAATTAAACCACGTCTCAGTAATGCAAATACATCTATGTTACCTGCACTAGCAACTAGTCTCAACTCGTCCATCTTATTCCTAGCACTGCGACTATTTGTGTAATAAATTTTTAATGACCCTCCTCTCTCTTTACCCTTCTGCTCCTTTCTGTTATTCCACTAAACCTATTACTGTCCTTGTCAATTAGTGCCACTGCTTTCCAATATCCACCTCATTTTGCCTATTACTAGTTCTCCTAGTACTCATGTTACTACCCTGCGACTTCACAGTTTTCCCGCCAAAACCCATACCACTAACTATTCCTAGTTTAAAGACTAACAGCTCCCTCCACTGCGTTGGCCAGTGCTCCCACCCCACACCTAGATAAGTGAACCCCATCCCTGGCATACATGTCATTTCTGCCATAGAAGAGGTCCCAGTTGTCAATGAATGTTACCACATTTTCCTTACAGTATTTGTCCAGCCAGCAATTGACACCAATTGCTCTGGACAACCATTCATTTCCAACTCCTCTCCTTGGCAAAATGCCACATATGACAGGTTTCCCACCCTTCCTCCTAATTATCTCTATTGCTGACCTATACCTGCTAATCAGGTCCTCACTCCTACGTCTGCCAACATCGTTGCCTCCAGCACTGAGACAGATAATAGGATTGCTCCCATTACCTCTCATGATGTCATCCAGACGGCTAACAATATCCTTCATCCCAGCCCCAGGAAAACACACTCTCTGCCTCCTACTCCTATCCTTCAAGCAGAATGCCCTATCCATGTACCTAATCTGGCTATCCCCAACAACAACAATGTTTTTACCTTCCTTGGCGTCGTCCGTCGTGATGCTCCGAGTAGTCGACTCACATTCGCCGGTAGCATTACACCACTTGTAGAATTCGTCAAGACGTTCTCGATGGTCTTCGTTGGGGTTTCTAGGATGTCTTACTCACGTCTGCCAATGCTTCTTTGGTGCTCGTTGTGGCATTCCCAGTAGAAACACTCACATTCGTCAGGTAGCACGAGAATGAGTTGGAAGTTTCCACGGTAGTCTTCTGGTTTCTCGTTGTTTCTGCCTCTCCAACCGTTTTCTTGATCTTCAGCTTGGTTCCATGTTGCCCGGCCACTGACCAAGCTCCCCTCTTAACCTGGGGACTCACAACAGGAGGATTACTACGAATCCTCTTGTTCTCCTCCGTTAATCGCCGTATCTCCATCTTAGCAACTCTGAGCTCTTCTCTCAGCTGCTGGTAAAGTTGCTCAAGAGAGGGCATCCTGGTACAGATTCACAGAGAGCACACAAACAGGTCTTCACAGAGCTAAGTACACGTCACCACTCTAAGCTAAGTACACGTCACCACTCATGCTAAGTACACGTCACCACTGAGCTAAGTACACGTCACCACTGCACCTCTCCTGCCATACGGTTTATAAGCTGCTTCTCAGCACGTATGCCGTATTATATTCAAGATTGATGGACTGACCACATCGACTCAAGGTTGAGGGACTGATTACCTCATTCTCCTCCTGTTCTTCAAGATTCTCCTTTGTATGGACTGATGAAGCCACTGTGTGGCGAAACGTTTCCTCAATATAGATACCCAAGAGTTGCACATGTGTCTAATTTATCAACATGTCGGTTCTCTGAACCATTCATCTACAAACCTGTCAGACACTGCAACTTCTTGGGATCTTAATACTTGGGAATTCTTCGCTTGCCTAATTCTTGGGCACGACCTACTTCAACATTGAACAAATGTTACACGACCTATGACTGCTGCACCTCTCCTGCCAACGGTTTATAAGCTCCTCAGCACGTATGCCGTATTCTATTCAAGATTGATGGACTGACCACATCGACTCAAGGTTGAGGGACTGATTACCTCATTCTCCTCCTGTTCTTCAAGATTCTCCTTTGTATGGACTGATGAAGCCACTGTGTGGCGAAACGTTTCCTCAATATAGATACCCAAGAGTTGCACATGTGTCTAATTTATCAACATGTCGGTTCTCTGAACCATTCATCTACAAACTATTCATATGGACCAATCAGAAGCCACGATTCTACCACAGTCTTCTACACACTCTCTAGCGGAGACACCAACATTGAAAGAACCTTCAATGTTGCAACCACCAAAAAAAACCTCTCCAGTCATCACTCGACGTATTAATACAGAAGACCAACATCGAGATCAATACCTGCAACTCTATGGACTCTATGACCGCGGGTTCAATCCCGGCCGGGGGAATGGTTTATTCTCAGCAACATTTTCGTTTGCTTTTTTTTTTAATTTTTGTTATTACTCGAGAACGTCTTATTCGATCAGCTTCAAATTGTTAATGCTTGCGTGATGTAAACAGTAAAAATTTGATTATGGTTTGTGTAAGAAAGTTGAAATTCTGCTGTTCATGCGATATTGTTTAAGTGTCGTATCTGATTACCTTCAACCTTTCCATACTGATAATTTGATAATCCAACTTCAAGTTTAATGTTCTTGTGCATTTTAAGATACTGGTATTTTTTAAAGGTTTGAATTATATTTGGGATTTGTGTATATCCTAATTTACTATTTTGAAGAAATTTGAATACTAGTTTTCATATTATGATTTGTGAAAGCTTCTTCTGATTTCCTTCAAATCTTCAGTGCTAATATTATTAGCATATGACAAAAACTGCGCTGTTTTAGTCGCGTGCATTGAGGTACACGGAATTGGAGCTATGGATCGTACAGAGACGGACATACATCTAGCTTTGTCGTCCACTGTTTGCAAGACCATGTTGTTTGTAGTTCAGCAACTGCAGGAGTTGGCGGTGGCCAGCTCTAAATCCATGTTGCCCTAAGTTGTGTAATAGCTGTGAGGTCATGATAAACAGTCTTACTACGTAGCAGTCTTTCAAAGATAAATAAGTGATGTTAATGTTATTGGTCCATACCTTTTTTTACAATTGCTTGTCTGCTACCTTTGCGCTGTGAGGATATACGCATCAATGGCTCCATTTCCATTTAAAGGTATAGGACTGATTTTCAGGAGTATATAGCCTATCGATCTATCGATTACACGATAGTTATTAAGGCTTAATATCACCTACACCTCACCAGTCGAGAATATTTTAATCTCAAAAACAGTTATTGAAATAAGCTTAGCATATACTGTTATGAATATCGAATTCCACAAGTCTAGGCCTGGGGCGGAGTACATGAATATGCTATCAATAGCTTCTAATCAAGCCGGTTAGGTTTATGTCAGAAATTATGTAAATGGTCGCAGAGTTTTGAGTTTCACTCATGAGATGTTAATCATCAGTCTGAATGACAGTAAGTCCAGCCCTTCACGTCATATGACTTAGGTCAGGTGAACGAACTTTGTAGTTAGGAAAGACACATAATCAAATACTAGGACATATTAGAAAACGTCCTAGTGTTTGCTCGCGTTTTTCTAAACCAGTTTGTCGGTATCTGTTACCAAGGTTTAAACTACCTTTTTATTAGCTTAATCCATTGAATGCTATTTCGTCTGCTGAAGAGTATCTTTTTTTTTTATATTAACCATATAAATTCGTTTTTCCAACTGGCCAGCGTGTACTACGCTTTTGTGTTTAGACTTACTATTGTGCAAATATAGTGTAATATAAATAATTTTCCTAAAGTATGTATGTTGACGAAAATATCCAGAATGTTTTTCTAATTAATCATTTTCAAAATCTCCAGATCGAAAAGGCGAAGTGTTTGATATCTATTACAATGAATTCCTCCAGCAAGGGTTTCCGAATTTCAAGACAGCCCTGTTGCTCCATCAGTGGATTCATTATTGTCACATCTTCACTTTGGGACATTACCGAGCCTTCGTTGATGGCGTTGAGTTCATACAAGGGCCACTGAGAACGGAGGAAGTATTGCTTCCCCTCAATTCTACCCTTATCCTGGGTCAAGACCAAGACACGTTAGGAGGTGGCTTTGAAAAGCATCAAGTATTCCGCGGCCATATCGCTCAGGTCAACATCTGGAACAGGAGTTTGAATCAAACTGAAGTAGAGGAGATAGCAAAGTGCATAAAGCTTGGTAGTGGGAATGTCTTCTCCTCAGATACGGATGAAGTTGAAGTATTTGGCGCAACTGTCTCGCAAGAAAAGCTCTCCATAATATGCCAGAAAACAAATGACTTTGTTATCTTCCCTGAGAATCGAAATCACAAAGAAACTTTATTTTGTGTCAGCGATCGGCGTGACATGTTTGGTCCATCATCAGTGATGAAAACAACAAAAATGTTCAAAAAAATCTTTTCTATTTTAAAAACGTGTCACATCAGGTCTTATCCCCTGGGTCGGATTAACAGATGAAGACGAGGAAGGAGTATGGCGGAAGATTTCTAACAATGAAACAGTTAAAGAGGTACAGTTTAATCATAGACAGCCCAACGGAAACACGACTGAGAATTGTGCCTATATGAACCGAGATAATGGACTTCTCAATGATGCAAAGTGTTCATTAGACTACGAGACCTGCGTACCATGCATCAAGAACTTAAACCGCACTCTTCGGTTGAGAGGTTTATGTCTAAAACGGGAAAGGGAAACCTTTTACGAAATTCTTGGCTACGTCAATGGAAAACCATATTTTCACGGATATTATGGATTTATGATATACATGTCTAAGCCGAAAATTTGGGTACTTAAAAATATCGTAACGAATGAAAGTTTAGCAACTGTGTCATTACCATCTGTAAAATCATATCCACTTGGTAAATACAGTTGGACAATTGGTGCAGAGCTTTGTGATTACCGTGAAAATACGACGATCTTCTTGTCTCTCTCTACCTGTGATAGTTCAGAATTTACTTGTAATATGGTGATTGTATTCCCAAGGAACAGAGGTGTAATGCTGTAGACAACTGTCCTGATTTCTCTGACGAAGAAGACTGTTCTCTGGTTAAACTGCCCAACAGTTATCGGTCGGTAAGTCCTCCAGATAATTTAAATAGCACCAACGCTCTGGAATTAGAATCACTTGTCCAGATCCTACGGTTTCTCAGCATCAATGACGTGAAAAGATTCATCGATTTGGAAATTAATATCGTGGTAACTTGGAAAGATGCAAGGCTCAGGTACCTTAACCTGAAGAATGCAATGGAAATGAATCGACTTTCTCCTTCAGACGAGAAAAGTATTTGGAGGCCAGTTATTAGATTTTTAAACGTCCATGATGGTAATATAAGATTGATCAAAGAAGAACTTTTCCTCAAAATGACTAATTCACCGCTCGAAGTGGATTTCAACGATGCAAATATGGGTAAGTTTTCATCAATCTTGTATATATATATATATATATATTATATATATTATATATATATATATTATATATATATATATATATATATATATATATATATAATATATATATATATATATATATATATATTATATATATATATATGTATGTGTGTGTGTGTGTGTGTGTGTACTCACCTAGTTGTACTCGCCTAATTGTGGTTGCAGGGGTCGAGACTCAGCTCTTGGCCCCGCCTCTTCACTGAGTGCTACTAGGACCCCTCTCTCCATGCTCCATGAGCTTTATCGTACCTCACCTTAAAACTCTGTATAGTTCCTGCCTCCACTACCTCACTGCTATGCTATTCCACTTTCTGACTACTCTATGACTGAAGAAATACTTCCTAACATACCTTTGACTCATCTGGGTCTTCAACTTCCAATTGTGACCCCTTGTTTCTGTGTCCCCTCTCTGGAACATCCTGTCTCTGTTCACCTTGTCTATTCCATGCAGTATTTTGTATGTCGTTATCATGTCTCCCCTAACCCTCCTGTCCTCCAGTGTTGTCAGTCCGATTTCCCTTAACCTTTCTTCGTAGGACATTCCCCTTAGCTCTGGTACTAACCTTGTCGCAAACCTTTGCAATTTCTCTAACTTCTTGATGTGCTTGATCAAGTGTGGGTTCCAAAAAGGTGCTGTATACTCCAGTATGGGCCTGACGTACGCGATGTACAGTGTCTTGAACGGTCCCTAAGGTATCGGAACGCTATTCTCAGGTTTGCCAGGCGCCCATATGCTGCAGCAGTTATCTGGTTGATGTGTGCTTCCGGAGACGTGCTCGGTGTTATATTCACCCCTGGATCTTTCTCCTTGAGTGAGGTTTGCAGTCTTTGGCCACCTAGCCTATACTAGGTCTGCGCTATTCTTTGCCCTTCCCCGATCTTCGTGATTTTGCATATGGCGGTGTTAAACTCGAGGAGCCAGTTGCTGGACTAAGCTTCCAGCCTGTCCAGGTCTCTTTGCAGTCCTGTCTGATCCTTATCCGATTTAATTCTCCTCACCAGCTTCACATCATCTGCAAACAGGGACATTTCTGAGTCTATCCCTTCCGTCATGTCATTCACATATATCAAAAATAGTACTGGTACTAGGACTGCCCCCTGTGGAACCCCGCTCGTCACAGGCGCCCACTCTGACACATCGTCACGTACCATGACTCGTTGTTGCCTCCCTGTCAGGTATACTCTGATCCATTGCAGTGCCCTTCCTGTTATACGCGCCTGATCCTCTAGATTTTGAGGAACTGTGTCAAAGGCCTTCTTGCAGTCCGTGAAAATGCAATCTACCCACCCGTTTCTCTCGTGTCTTACTGTAGTTACCTTGTCGTGAAACTCCAGTAGGTTTGTGACACAGGATTTGCCTTCCATGAATCCGTGCTGGTTGTCATTTATAAGCTTATTCCGTTCAAGGTGTTCCACCACTCTTCTCCTGATAATCATCTCTATGACTTAGCATACTATACACGTCAGTGACACTGGTCTATAGTTTAGTGCCTCTTCTCTGCCTCCTTTCTTAAAAATGGGGACTACATTTGCCGTCTTCTATACCTCTGGTAGTTGCCCAGTTTCAATGGATGTGTTGAAAATTGTGGTTAGTGACACACATAGCATATCTGCTCCCTCTCTAAGGACCTACTGAGAGATGTCTGGTCCCACCACCTTTGAGGTATCAAGATCACTTAGCAGCTTCTTCATCTCCACCTCACTTGTGTGTATTTCATCCAACACTTGTTGGTATATCCCTTGCTGGTGTACCCCTCTGTTCTGACTTCTCAGAGTTCTTTCTGTCTCCACTGTAAATACTTCCTTAAATCTCACGGTGAGCTTCTCGCATTCTTCTTGGTCGTTTCTTGTTAACTCCTCTCTTTCTTCAGCCTGATTACCTGGTCCTTAACTGTTGTCTTCCTCTTGATGTGGCTATACAACAGCTTCGGGTCAGACTTGACTCTTGATGCTATGTCGTTTTCGTACTGTAGCTGGGCCTCCCTCTTTATCTGTGCATAGCCGTTTTTGGCTCTTCTGTACTTTTCCGTTCTCTAGTGAACTTAGTTTTTGCCTCCCTACAAGGGTTCGTTCTGGTCTTCCCATTATTTCTGTTGCCTTTGGGAACAAGCCTTTCCTCTGCCTCCTTGCATTTTGTTATTACTTAGTCCATCATTTCGGTTACTGACTTTCCTACCAATTCTTTTTCCCACTGAACCTCCTGCAGGAAGTTCCTCATACCTGTGTAGTTCCCCCTTTTGTAATTTGGCTTTTCCCATCCTACTCCTGTTTTCCTCTCTACTGTGTATTCAAAGCTCAGAATCACTTGATCACTAGCTCCAAGGAGCCTTTCATATGCGATGTCCTCAATGTTCGAGCTACTTAGGGTGAAAACGAGGTCCAGTGTTGCTGGTTCATCCTCCCCTCTCTCTCTGGTAGTGTCCCTAACATGTTGGTGCATGAGGTTTTCTAGTACCACAGCCATCATCTTGGCTCTGTATGTTTCGGGACTCCCATGTGGCTCCAGGTTTTGTGTGTACTCACCTATTTGTGGTTGCAGGGGTCGATTCATAGCTCCTGGCCCTGCCTCTTCACTGCTACTAGGTCCTCTCTCTCCCTGCTCCATGAGCTTTATCATACCTCGCCCTAAAACTATATATGGTTCCCGCCTCCACTACTTCACTTTCTAGGCTATTCCACGGCTTGACTACTCTATGACTGAAGAAATACTTCCTAACATCCCTTTGATTCATCTGAGTCCTCAACTTCCAATTGTGACCTCTTGTGTCTGTGTCCCATCTCTGGAACATCCCGTCTTTGTCCACCTCGTCTATTCCGCGCAGTATTTTATATGTCGTTATCATGTCTCCCCTGACCCTCCTGGCCTCCAGTGTCGTCAGGCCGATTTCCCTCAACCTTTCTTCGTAGGACAATCCCCGTAGCTCTGGGACTAGTCTTGTTGCAAACCTTTGCACTTTCTCTAATTTCTTGACGTGCTTGACTAGGTGTGGATTCCAAACTGGTGCTGCATACTCCAGTATGGGCCTGACGTAAATGGTATACAGAGTCTTGAAGGAATCCTTACTGAGGTATCGGAATGCTATCCGTAGGTTTGCCAGGCGCCCGTATGCTGCAGCAGTTATCTGATTGATGTGCGCCTCAGGAGATATGCTCGGTGTTATACTCACCCCCAGTTCTTTTTCCTTTAGTGAGGTTTGCAGACTTTGGCCATCTAAACTATATTGTGTCTGCGGTCTTCTTTGCCCTTCCCCAATCTTCATGACTTTGCATTTGGCAGGGTTAAACTCAAGGAGCCAGTTGCTGGACCAGGCTTGTAGCCTGTCCAGGTCTCTTTGTAGTCCTGCCTGATCCTCATCCAATTTGATTCTTCTCTTTAACTTCACATCATCCGCAAAAAAGGACCTTCTGAGGTCTACCCCTTCCTTATTCATTAAAATACCAAAACAGACAGGTCCTGGACTGACCCCTAGGGAAACCCCCGCTTGTCCAGGCACCACTCTGACACCTCGTCCCCGTAAAACCATGAATCGTTGTTGCCTCCCTGCAGGTATTTTGACCCTTGCATCCCTTTCCGTTATGTGTGCCTGATCCTTAGTTTTTTGCAGAACCCTCTTGTGGGAACTGTGTCAAGGCCCTTCTGCGCCCAAAAAAAATGCAGTCGATCCCCCCCTCTCTCTCTTGTCTTATTCTGTCACCTTGTCTAAAACCCTTAGTAGGTTTGTACACGGGATTTTCCCCCCCTAAAACCCATCTGGTTGAAATTATACACTTGTTTTTTTCCAGGTGTCCACCACTCTCCTCCTGATGACTTCTCCATGACCTTGATACACGTTAGTGATCAGGTCTGTATTTTTGTCCCTCTGTCTGTCTCCTTTTTAAAAAGGGGGGACTACATTTGCCATTTCCATACCTTTGGGGGGAGTTGCCCGTTTCAAATGATGTGTTAAGATCTTTTTAATGGTACACACAATATCTCTGCTCCCTCTTTAAGGACCCATGGGAGTGTTTCTGGCCCCAGCCTTTGAAGTGTCAATTCGCATAGCAGCTTCTTCACCTCCCCCTTGGGTTAAGTCTCATCCAGCACTTTGCTGATGCACCCCCCTGCTCTGATTTCGGGAGCCCTCGGTTTCCCCCTGTAAAAAATTTTTTTAAATCTCGTGTTGAGCCCCTGAATACCCCCCCGGTCGTTTCTTGGGGAATTCCCCATCACCCTTCCTCATCGGAATCCCCGGTCCTTGACTGTTGTTTTCTTCCTGATGTGGCTGTACAACAGTTTCGGGTCAGTTTTGGGCTTTGTGCTAGTCTTTTTTCGTATTGCCGCTGAGCCTCCCTTTTATCTGTGTTTTAGTTTTTGGCTCTTCGGCTAATCTCTTTATTTTTTGAGTTCTCTGTTTCTGTCCCTTTTTCCTTTCTCTAGTACCCCTAGTTTTTGCCTCCTACATTTTTTGGGGTAACCCAAAGGACTCGTTCTGTTTTTCCCCCATTATTTCTTTTTCCCTTGGGAACAAACCTCTCCCTGCCCCTTGCATTTTGTTGCACTTTGTCCATCATTTCTTGAGGGTTTTCCTGTCATTTCCCCTCTCCCACGGAAGTTTTGAAAAATTTCCCTCAAGCCTGAGTATTTCCCCCCTTTTTGTAGTTTGGCTTTTCCCAACCCTTTTCCCCTGCTGCTCTTTTCCATTTGGGAGCTCAACTAGTGTCGAAGCACAAACCACATGATCACTGCTCCAGGGGCCTTTCATGAATAATATCCTTGATGTAGAATACCAAGGTGAATAAAAGGGCCCAGTCTTGCGGGTTTTCATCTTCCTCTCTCTCCGGTTATCCTAACATGTTGATGCATGAGGTTTTCCCGTAACACATCCTCATCTGGGGTCTATGTTTCGGGACCCCCCCTGGGGCTCCGGTTTTCCCAATCTCCTTGTGATTGAAAACACCCAAACGTAACTTTGCTCCCCC